TGTTTTAAAATTAAAACGAAGTAATTTATTAAAATAAAAATAAAAATTACCTTTTTTCTATTTTTTTATTCTCTAACTAGTAAATATTTTGTATAAGTGGGGGTTTGGAGCATTTTGGTTGGGTGGTGCAAGGGACGCATGCAGATGAGAGCGTGGAGGACAATCCCGGAGGTAGTGAAGAAGTTATCTGTCGCGCTCTGAACCCGGCAATCCAAAATTAAAAGCCGCTTTCTTGTCCCCCAAAACATCATTTCGCTTTGCCCTGTTTTTCCCTGTCCCCTTCAATCCTCTTTTTTAATGCTCTCTGTACGTATCTTACACTCTCTCAATTCTTTTATTTTTCCTACCTTTTATTTCCCTCAATGAATGTCCTGTGAAAAATAGCCTAATAAATTCCTGTCTATTATTTATGTTTCCTATTTTGGATTAATTTTTAATGGACCACCTTCGATGCGTTGATTTTCAATCCCATGGGGCCCACTGGGTTTTTTCAGGTTTACTGTTTTGTGTTTCAGCCACCAAGGAATGTACAATTAAATTATTTGATGAACTTTTCCTTATTTGCCCTTGTGTTGCAATTAAAGGACCCTGTCACTATGCCCCACAACATGTGTGAGAGAGTAATAAGTGGGATCCATATAGTGGCTATGCATGTGATTGTGCATTGGTATAAATGGTATTAACATAGCCTCTTGTGTATAATACGGAAGAGGTGGATGAAGAGGGAGAATCTTGCCACTTTTGTTAGGGTAATGAGTGGGGTGGTTGAAATTGTTGATTTATAAGCCATTTGGCTAAGCATGCCTTTTTTTCTTTGCCTTCATAATCACAATGTTCCTCTCTTTCCTTGATATTAAAGATTGAAAGGAAAAACAAAAGAACAACATAATAAATGGAAGGAATTAATATGGAGGGCAACATGATTACATTGGATAAACGCTTTCTCGTAAGAGTCAAATTAAATCCCTTTTATTTCGGGGGTAAAATTGTCATTTTACGACTATTCTTGTTTGGATGAATGAAAGACTACGAATCGCAGTCCGAAACGTAAAGACAAGTCACATAAATTTTATTTTTAATTTCTTATCAACGTCTGTCTTAAACTAAGGTAGGAAAATGACGTCGAATGGCAGTGTTTTAGACACGTCCTATATATGCTCTGGTTAGAGAAAGTGCTGCAAAACTTGCTTCTCTTTTTTTATTATATTTAGTTTTGTAAATATGAATACGATATTTAGATTATGATTAATAGTATTCATTAAATATTAATTTGTTATTTTTTAACACAAATATAAGGATGCTATTAATGAGGCATTCTTGAATGTAACCCTATCCATTCTGTCTCTCTCTTTTTCATTTCTCACGTTGGATTTGTATTCTATATTGTAAGTTTGTAACCCATTCTGTGATATTCCTGTTTTTGGTTTCCTGAATGAAATATCGTGATGGCTTTAGCTGTCTAAACAAAGTTAAAGTGACCTTATAAGTGCTTCTTTGTATTAAGAGTTAGTTTATTTGAGAAAAAAATGATTTTCAAAAGTGTGATTTTGTCATAGACAGTGTTAACAATTCCATTACCCAAAGAAAATATACAGAACCTTTATCACAGGTCAAAGTTAGGAAATTTTTGTTGCGGGACTCAAATATAAAGATAAAATTTTAAAGTAATATATAAAAATTGATCAAAAATGGAAAATATATAATGTTTTTCTTTGATATAACATGCAAATTCAAATAAAAAAATTACTCACAGCAAATGAAGATGAATTACACTCAAATTCATTAATATTATTTACGAACATACAAATAAACTATTCCTGATAAAGTCATAACACTTTGTTCTGATTGAATAGTTTAGCAAAGGAAACAAATGGAAAGAGTAATTTCCTCTCATTTTGATAGTTTGTCTTTTAGTAAAAGAAAAGAAAGAAAAAATTAAACTAGTCCGACAAAAACAAAATCACTTCTCTATTACTGTGATCTTGTTGCAGTAAAATGATGAAAATATTGAGAAGAGGAAGGGCGTGAGGGGAGGGGTAAAGGCAGTTTTTTTATTTATTATTATTATAACTTTATATTAACTAAGGTTTTACATACTACAGATACTTTTAAAAATTATTAAATTGGTTATCATTAGCAGTATTTTTGTGTGTGTATAATTTACACATTTTAGATACTAATTAATTTTTATGAAATATTTTTTAATTTATTCAATCAAAATTTGTTTTAAAATATATTATTATTATTATTTGTTTATCTCTCGTGTAAAGATATCCTTAACCCTGCGTGAAAGAATTTGTGAAACTGTAGTCAAGCCTCTATCTTCTTATCTCATTATAAATATCATTTTTAATTATATGTCCTTTTTCTAAAATAAAAATTCCAATTATATGTTATATTTTGTGAATATTAATGAAGCGTGCTCCCACACAAACACATGAGGTTGTAAGACATTTCTTGCTTTGATCTCCTAGAAAAATGTTTGTTAGAGATAACATAATTAAAACGTATCTATATGTGAAATGTAGTTTCTTAATGTTGATTTAGTATTTACAAACGTTTAAAATTAGTTAATTTTGGTGTTCTCGTTAAAAATATTATTAAAAATTAGTTTAGAGGTACTAAGTTCATTAAATATTTTTACAATTATCATGTTGAACTTATATTCATGTTTCAAAAGTAAAAAATATTTTGAATCTATATATCATGCATCTCTTGTGTTACTTTAAATAAAAATTATCTCACTTTTCTACAAGTATATTAACCTCATTAAAAATATAAATGAATGACTAAAAAAATACAAATTACTATTTGATACAACTCCTGTATAAAAATAATACATATATAAATTTCCTAATTGAGTAAATAGTTTATTCATATTATAATTTTAAAGACTGAGTTTTACTATCTACAAACTTTGAAATTATTTATCGTAAAAAAGTCTAATATTCAAAATTATAATTCTTTTATTTGTTTCTTTGTTTTCTTCTCTAAAAAAGATATGCATCAATTAAAAGATTTAATATTCTAAACTTAAAATATTAAAAAAAATCTTACCAAATTCTTTTTTTACAACAATCATTTATAAAATTAATATTAAAAAAATATTTACTCAATAAATAATATATCTTCTTAAAGTTGTTTGAAAAGTGGAATTTTAGAAAGAGAAGAGACAGGACATCAATTTATATTTTAAATTAATATTTTTAAAATTAATATTTTTTAAAAATAAAATATATAAATTAATATATTAACAAAAATTTAATGTATCAATAATGTGTTTATTATCATAAATAATATATAATAATTTTAATTTAAAATTAAAAAATATATCTCTCTTCACTTCATCTCCAAAAACCTCCTCCCAAACATACTCTAAAATATATTTTTATTAATTTTCTTAATAATATATGAATAAGCAATTAAAAAAATAAGTAAACATTATATATATATATATATAAAACTTTTCGTAAAAAAAAGTATAAAACTATTTTTTAAAGGTTAAAAATTATAATAAAAATACTTAATATTCTTTATTTAGTATATTTAAGATATTTGTTAAAAATAAATTTAAAAAAATATTACCTTTAAAAACAACTTTGCTGCTTAAGACAATGAATAAACCATAAAAAATACTATTTATATAATATATTTTAAAAAATCTTCAGCTTTTTCTTAAAAAAGTAACCATTAATAAAATCATCTCTTTAAAGATCTAATTTAAATTATTTTAAAAAACAGTAGTCATAAAGGTTTTTGTTCCAAAGCTGAACATGATTTGTGTTGTTTAATTATAATTATTGTTATTATTATTATTTAATTAAAATTACAGTTTTATTTCAACAATTGTTACTATGACGTATATTAACAACACACGATAAAATTTTATTTAAAAATTGTTATTTAATATTATTAATATAACTAATTTCTAACACTACAATTTTAAATAAATTATTATTATGTATCTTTAAATATGATTTAAAAATATATAAACGTATGTCACGATGCTCTCTAGTTGATTGTGCTAATTTCGTTTCGTTTCCAATGAAAGCAGAAGTTTAAGGACAAAATGACATAATATAGGTTATTTTAATTGGTTCTTTTATAGACTTTTGAAAGCACTCGTAAAATGTTTGTGTTTTGTATTAATTATGTTTACTTTATTATTTAAATACGTATTACAAGTTCTTAAAATTGTTTCAACGGTGATTTAAATAAACATGCATTTTTCCCCACTTTTGAACGACTGGAAGAAGAAACTGGTCAAAGCATTTGTCAATAATTTAAAATCTAGTATGCATCGAACTTAAGTTAGGTTAAATATATTTAATAAATAAATAAAAATAATACTTTTAAAAGACTATTTAATTAAAAAGCCATGAATGTTTAATAATTCGGTCAACTTAAGTAAACATTGTTATTAATATTATTATAACATTTAAAATCATATATTTATTTTATTTAAGATTTTTAATTAAACTTATAAGCTGGAGAAAACTTAAAAAAAATAAATACATTTAAAAACACATAAAATTCCAACTTGAATTCAAATATTAAATCAATAATAAATTTTACACTTAATCTAATTCAACCTATTTTCTATACCTATATATGATGGGGTGAATAAAGTAATGTTTCGACATATAGCACTTAATTTCAACAAATCCATTCCGCATAAGAAGAATAAATCGTCGGTGCGCTCTAAATCATCGGAAAAGCAAGGCCATTGAGGTGCGTTCCTTCGGATATGTTCGGCGGAATATTGTTGAAACGTTTTTGTTAAGTTGTATTTAAGGATGTTAAATAAGAACCTACAAATATTAAATTATTTTCTCAGACACATTCAAATACTATGATTAAAAAAGTGATATTATCTCGTAAAAAAAGAGTGCTGTAGGAACGTTGATTTGAACAGAAAAGAAAAATGAGAATTACACAAAGTGCAGTGTTTTTACAGACACATTCTTTATTTTAAAGTCATATTTTAATGCATGGAGTTTCACATCGGACAGCAAAAGCTTTTGTTACTTTATGCCCAATGGAGGGTCCTTAGTTTTCTCTTTCTCTCTCTCTTCTCTTGCTTCTCAATCTCTTAATCACTCTTCTTCTTCTTACTCTTCACTCTTTCTGATCTGCTGATTCTTCAGGTAAAACGTTTTAATCTTCAGCTTCTAAGCTTAGCTTCCACGTTTTTGTTTTCTGTTGTTCGTTAAACCAAGAAATTGGACCCGCAATATCTGGAAACGTTCTGCCATCAATCCTGTGTGTCTATGTTTTTACCCTTTTTGCTTTCATTCTTCCAACTTTGACATGCGTCTTTGTCTTTCCCGGTAATGGTTGGAAAAATTTTCAATCTTTCTTTCTACTTTTCCATAATCCTTTCAGGGCATTAGGACAAGTGTGATCTTTTCTTTCTCTCTCTCTTTTGAAGGAGTTCTTTTTATTGAGTAGTTTGTGGTTTTTCACAGTCATTCAACTTTCTTTGTAGTCCGCGCTTAATTGTTTTCACTTGTTTTTTCTCTGTTAACTTCCATTCTGTTTTTTTTCTTCTTTAAAATGTATCTTCAAAGAATTTTTTTTCGATTATTTTTTTCCTGAAGTGTGCTTATAGGAGATTGAAGAGTATGGCTCGTCACATAAATTCTCCCTTGGCCCTCGTTTTCTCTATGTATTTTTATTGCTTGTATTTATTTTTTATTTATTTTTGAATTTTTTTCTCTTAACTCATTTCCACCGAAAAGTAATAATTGAATAATTTATGTGTATACACTGTGACCATCGTAGCAATGAATGAAGCTTGTCTTATCTTCTTATGTTTCGCTGTTTAATTTAGTATACAGATAAATTGCTTCTAACTCTCAAAGCCGTGTTGCTTACTTTGCATTATTAAACTAATTTAAATAAATAAAAAAAAACTATACTTTGGTGATTGTGGCTAATTTCATGGTTCTTGGGCGCAAAGCAAAGAAACTTTAAAAAAGGTATACTTCAATTCAATAGATTGTAGAAGTTCTGAGATGAATCATTTATTGAGGTTGTTTATAGATCAAGTGTGGCTACCTGAGTTTCAATGTACCTTTTTTTTCCCTGTTTGTTTGCTTAGATTGAAGGTTGTGGCGTGTAATGTAATATCATGGAGATTACTGAAAAACTAAGTTTGCTTTATGAACAATGTGGAATGGTGTTATTGCTTGATAGGTTATGCAAATTGGGTACTTTGGGTTGAATTGTGATGTCTCCACCAGTACTGGGCATAGGGGAGGAGGAGGGTAAAAGCAATGTCACTTTGTTGGTTTCCTCAACCACCATGGAAAGTGTGTGCCTCAAGAGCATGGAATTAAAAGAACGCAATTACATGGGATTATCGGATTGTTCTTCTGTGGATAGCTCGGTTCCGTCGTTCTCAGAAGAGAGTAAAAGTAAACTGAACCTGAAAGCCACAGAACTCAGGCTTGGGCTTCCAGGATCACAGTCTCCCGAAAGAGATTCTGATCTTTCCTTAAGAAGCTCAACTCAATTTGATGAAAAGCCTCTGTTTCCTTTGCGTCCTTCGACCGATGATCCCCATTCTACGTTGAAGATTGCTGTTTTGGGAAACAAAAGAGGGTTCTCTGATGCCATGAATGGGTTCCCAGAGGTAAACACCAATTTACTATAAGGGCGTGTACTTTTTAAAATGCTAGCTGGATCAGACACTATAAGTTTCCAATCTATCATGCAGGGGAAATTCCATGGTAATTCAGAGGCAAATCAAATACTGTCACCAAGGCCTGCTTCTAACTTGGGATTAAAACCTGGTTCTACTGTTGAGAATGTTGGGACTCAGCAAACCAAAATGAAAGAAGTAGCAACAACGAAGGTGGGGCTTGATAGGCCTCATGCTGTCAATGAAACCAGACCAGGGCTTGATGGTTCTGCAAATAATAATAGCAGTGCACCAGCAACCAAGTAAGTGGAAAGCTGGGACTGATCACATTCAGTTTGGGTTTAATTGTGGAAATTGCCTCTGATGATCCTTTTGTGGCAGGGCTCAGGTTGTAGGGTGGCCTCCTATAAGATCATTCAGGAAAAATTCATTGGCAAATAATTCAAAGAACACTGAAGAAGTTGATGGAAAAGTGGGGTCCGGTGCACTGTTCGTCAAGGTCAGTATGGATGGTGCTCCCTATTTAAGGAAAGTAGACTTGAAGAATTATTCTACATATCCAGAATTATCTTCTGCTCTAGCCAAGATGTTCAGCTGTTTTACTATAAGTAAGAAACAGTTAGTTTTATGTGAGAAAACTTAAGCTTTCGATCGTTTATGGACAGTTTGCCTGGATCCAGTTACTGCTTGTTTTGGTATGATTTCAGGTCAATGTGGATCTCATGGAAATCTGGGCAGGGAGATGCTGCTGAATGAAACCAAGCTGAAGGACCTTCTTCATGGATCGGAATATGTTCTTACATATGAGGACAAAGATTGTGATTGGATGCTTGTGGGTGATGTTCCTTGGGAGTAAGTTCTAATTCATTTATGTACATGGTTTTCCATTGACATTTCTTTAAAAGAATAAATTCCTCAGGGATAGCAAATTTATATTCGAGAAATGTATTTTCTTGTGACATTGCGTTTTTAACTCATTGGTATGTCCTGGGAAGGAAACTTGGAAGCACTGATACTTCAAAATGGTTTAATGCTTATGTATTTATTTATACTCCCCTTGGTTTTCTTTTAATTATTTTCTGATTTGTTTGTATCAATTCAAATGGGATATCATGGTGATTAGAAAAATGATGTATTTTATTGTGTCTACAATGACTAAAGTTGAGCCTAAATTTAGAACATTTTAATGTCTTATTTTAATTTAGGATTTGTGTTTTTATGCTAATATTATATTAGTTTTGTATGTTGAATCTCAGTTGCATTGTGCTCTATAATTTTTAAAATTTGTCGTATACACGTATCAGTGTTGAGTGATACCCATGTCTCGCATCTATTTGCATAATTACTAAGGCTTATTATTGAATGCAGCATGCTGAAAAATATAGGAATGGCCTATGGGTGTGGGTCTGATTCATGAATCCAATCCAATTTATGAACCCAATCAATCCAACCTGATCCAAACTAAAATGTAGGGGTTGACTGGGTATTCAAGTTAAATTGAATATTGTAACTGAATCAGGTATCATATACTTACAAACCTTGTGAACCTGAAATAAATAACTTTTCTCTCTCCCCTTTTTTCCTATTATTTGTTGCTTTATTGAACATAACGGTTGAAATTATATTGTTTTGTGAGATCCTGATTTACTTGAAATTGTAATACTGGAATTCTTATAGCCGCTCTTAGGAGAACTGTTGATTTTTGAACAACTATTTGACATGTTTAAGCCATAGTCTGATACTTTTTAAAAAGGAATATATAATATGTTTATGGGCAACTAGGTCAGTTTAATTTTATTAAGATTGAATTTTGATCTAATGGAAATTGACAAATTTTCACACAATCAACGATTTGATAACTGTTAGTGCTAGTGAAACATTGGGGTTACTCCAATAATGCGATTTCTTCTGATTTCCTGATCATAGTTTTACAATATAAAATTTACTTTCATGTACATACCTCCGTTAAATCATTCTAGAAATGAAGATAAATAATGTTCATTTCTTAGCAGACTAATATTAAAACAATGTCTCAACTCTTTGCAGGATGTTTATTGAAACATGCAGGAGGCTGAGGATCATGAAGAGTTCTGATGCCATTGGTCTAGGTTACTTTTTATCAACATCATCTCTCTTATTAGTTTAACTTGAAACAACTACTGGTCTGAAAATATTATTAGGGAAATATATTATAAGGAAAAGCAATAAAGGTAATTTTTGTGTATATAATTAAAAAACAATACACATCACATGGTTAAATAGTTTAACATTGAAGATGTGAACCAAAATTTCAAATAGCCTGGTAGTTGTTTCAATTTCAAAATTTTCAAATATCTATAATCTTGGTTATCTAATAGCTGCAAACTAGAATGCGTGAATTCTAATTTAAATTGTAGTTTGAAAACAAATAATTTCTTCCCCAAGGTTGCTTTGCATTGTGAATGTGTGATTTTTTCCTAACTGAGAAAAGAAATCTTGTTCAGAAGATATGGTTAGAGGTGAGTTATTTTTTCCATTTTCCAGTTTTAGAAAAATGCTTTAGGGATTTTAAGTCACATTGTGGCAGAAATCAGAAGATAATAATAAAATCCAAGTTGAAATCATTTTATTTCCCAATTACTTTCAACTTCTCTTTGTTTACAGTGAGTGAAAACCAAAGCAATGTCAGCAATTTTACACGGAATGTCCGTGAGTTGTTTCAGAAAGTTTTTAATCCCAGCATATCTTATCAAGTTTACTCTTTTGGCCCACTTGCAGCTAAAAAGTAAGAGCAGGAACTAGGCAGCACCACTCATTCCACTCTATTCACTGAACTGTCTATGGGATTAAAAGCTTATGGCTTATGATGTCTTGGGAGCAAAAACTGAAGGCATTTTGGATGGATAGAGTTTCGTACGAAGCTGCCTTAAAATCCTTGTATCATTTACTGTATCTTTTTAATGTTGTCATGGCGTTTATGTTTTGTAAGCTTGTTTTCAATATTGTTAAAACTTGTAATTAAAACTCCAAGACTTGACTATGGGAGTACCTATATCCTATCTACTCGAGTTCATGATGTGGTTGAAGGATCTGTATTATGTAAATTTTGCAGCGTACCTTCACAAAAGTGTGTCCTATATATGTTTGTGATAAAAAAAACCAAGTTGTATGCACTTGTACTGTTTTAATGTCATTTGCCACTTGTCACTTGTGGGTTTTTGGATTCATAGTGGAAGACTTGTAAACATTAATTTAATGCAAAAGATATAGGTCTTCTTTGGATGAAATTATAGACAAGTCCTTATAAGAAGAGAATAAAATATAAAAAATAATTTTTTTTATAAGTTAAAAATATTTTTTTAAAAAAAAGTTTTAGAATAGTTAACTTCTACAAAATATAGAAGTATAACTTTATTTTCATTTATGTAATGAGCTTTATATATTTTTTATATTATTTTTTTTCTCATACCTAAATTGGGGAATGTATCTAAGTATCAATAGTTATTAGAATTTATCCAAGATACGGAAAAAAAAAGAAGAAAGAATTCCCAACCTAGACAGAAGTTTTATTATCCTAGATTTTTAGGTCTTTACCCATGGTTTCTCACAATTTTTTCAAAGAACAAATATTGAGAAATTGTTTGGTGATGCTTTGAGGTTTGAGCCTCTGCCTTGAACTATTGAGATGTTGTCAAGACATTGGATATGGTTGTCGGGGGGGGGGGGGGGGGGTCCAGAAGCCAAGCATGTGAAGCTCTGACCAGTGCATGGACCTGCCTGTGTTGGCCTGACATTATGAACAATGTTTAGCCTATTTTGGTTCTAGATCTATGTTAACATTGAGGTTGATGGTATAGCGTGTTTCACAATTATTATTACGTCACTCTTGTTCTGCATGCTTCAACTAATTGCACTAAACTAAGTTGAATAATAATATATAGTGCCTATTTCATCCAGCATTTATGATTCGTTGGTTGTAAGAAGCAGCTAAGGTAAAATTTGAAGGTTGTATAGTTTTCTGTGATAGAGAGAATGTCGATTCGACATTTTTAGATTAAATTGCTACCATGATTCAGTGTGGTTGAAAATATGTTAAAAAAGAACATAAATTTAACCCATAAACTATAATTAGCCGTGTAAAGTACATGTGAATTCATGATCACTCAAACTGAATGGAAAAAGGACGTGCAAGCGTCTAATTAAAAGAGGGTTGTTTTAGATAAACACCTAGTTTGAGGCAAAGGGGTTATGATTAGTGGATAAATTAGGAATGCATTAACGTCCTTTCTTCTGAACTGAAGAATGAAGCAGTGGCCAGTGGGTGCATGTGATTCTCTTTGTTACGGAATCACAACCAACGGAGCATGTGCCCCTAGTCTAGTCGGTTTTGTTCATTTCATAATTATATAATGTATTGCAAAATCTTACATCTTAATATAATAATAAGGGTTGTGTTAACTTTAGTTTAGAAATAAATTTAAGCATTTATAAATATAAAAATTTCATAAAAAAAATACATAATTATTATATATCAGAACTTCAAGATCTTATTTAAATGATATTAAGTCACTTACCACTTAAACTAGCTTTTTTTAATAATTATTATATTAAAATTATAAAAATATAATAAATACATATCTTTCTAATAAAATTTTACTATTATTAACTATTTGTCTTCGGTTGTAAGAACATAAAACCCTAATAATAATATTTATCTTCTTTAAGAGTTACTCAAGTGATTAATTTCACTCATAAAAGAAGAATCGTGATATTTAAATCTAATTTTAAAAATATTATTTATATTAATTCTCTTATTCTTTTATTAACATCAAAAGACTAACATAAATTACTCTTTAAAATAAAAAATCATAAACTAAAATGACGTATCCATGCATCATTCGAAATTAAAATATAGATTTATCTTCTTGCATGGAGGTTACGTGACGTAATACACAAAGAAACATAACTCGCACATTGTCTAGCCAAACTTTTATGAACCTTTTTTTCTTCTGAGGCACGGACTTGGGCCTTTAAAGCCCCCATCCCCTATTTAGATATTTTTAAAAAGGAAAATTGTAAATGATACAAAAAACAACCTAAACTGATCTCTGCATAACAAAAACATAAAATCACTATGAAATTTAGAATACATGCAGAAGATTGATAGTATATTTAAGTTTAAATCCATGAAGGGAATTACCCTAGTGCTTGGGTTGCTCTTTTTTGGTATTGGGCTTACATGGTTAGTAACTTGGAAACAGTACTTGAGTGTGGGCCCGGTGTCAATGGGCTCTTCCTTATGGGCTTCGTCCGCTCCAAATATTCATAGTTATTTATTAAATATAATAAATTTTGTGCTTAAACGATGCTAAGATTTTACATTTTTGGACATATCGATGTATTAACATTTGCATTTAAATGATATATTAAAAGTTTTTCACTATTGTTTTGCGTGCGCAAAACTGAAAGAAATACCAAAATTTGTAAATAAAGAAAAAGTTTATCAAGAACAAAGGTTCTCGAATATCAATCTGTAGCCTCTTTTTTGTGATTTGTTTTTTTTCTGCCAAGGCCCAGTGGTGACATGAAAAGTCCAATCGGGAAATGGTGCATGTGCGTACCAAGCCAAATGGTTGTTGTCTTGTTCATCTGGCATTTCCTCTAATTTGACCAAAACTTTGCATTATCTAATGGAAAGTTAGTCCATGTTCTGACAATTAGATTTGCAAGAAAGATTTTCCAATTTTATGGGAGATTTATGTGTAATTGTCATATGCTAGTTTTTTTCGTCGTACTAGGCTTTAAGTCATTGTTTCGTTCTCTATGTATCCTCCTCTGTCTTATTATATTTCCTTCTAAAGAGAGAAAAAAATATAGAAATTTTGGTTTGAGGGTATGCCGATGCAAGAGGAGATGTGTGACAATAAGTTTTTGTGTGTTTGAATTAATTTATTTTGTCAATTTTTTTTTAAAAAAAGATTAATTATTTTTTACAGCTTTTATTAAAAAAATTGTCTAATGCCCTCTTAAAATTTAATTAAGAAAAAAAGGTTTACTCAAGTCTTATAAGAAATATTCTAATCCATGTAAGACATCTCAACAACTCTCTAGGAAGAACTTCAAAAAGATTATTTTCTTTAAGCAAATTAAAACTAATGTTTGTTTGAAGTTTAAACCCTATCAATTACACATATAAGTCACTGTTTGAGCTTTAAAACTTGAAATTTAGATTTTTTGTAGTTTTGGAAGGAACTACAATTTGCAGTTTAAATTCATTTAAGTGAAATAAAATTTGTTTAAGTGAATTTAGTAAAAAATAATTATTACTTGAGCCAAAAAATTAATTTAAGTCAAAATTGTGAAAAATTTCAAAACTTCATCATCATCTTCTTTAAATTGTAAAAAATTTGAGAAATTTTTGTTTCTCACTAATGACTATCTAGTTACTAAAGACCCTTACATATTTTATCCCACTAAATATTATAAATGTATTATTTAGTGTGCTACTTATGTTAAACATTAGTAAAGTAGAACCATTTGAAATCAGGTTAAATTGTTAAAAATGATGATAAGGATTATGAGAATGATAACTTTGAGAAATAATTGCATTACTACATATTTTGAAACACTTAAAGTTTTTGTGTTATGACCTTAAAGTGTGACCACATGATCTTACGCAAATATTTTTAAATATGTTGTCTAGTATATTACTTGTACTAAATATTAGTGATGTAGAACTATTTGGAATCAAGTTAAATTGTTGAGAATGATGATAAAGATATAATAATAATAACTTTGAGAAATTTGTTAAGAAATAGTTGTATTATTACATATTTTGAAATAATTAAGTTTTTGTTGTATGACTATAAAGAGTGACCACATGATCTTTCACAAATATTTCTCAACTTTTCTACAGTCTAGAAGGGAAGAAGATAAAATTTTAAAAATTTTCACAATTTTTGCTTAAGCGAAAATCACTTTTTAACTAAATTATTTTAAGCAAATTTTTTTAACTTAAATTAAAATTACTTTTTACTAAATTTGTTTAAGTGAATTTAAACTGCAGATTGTAATTCTCTCCAAAACTGTAGAAAATCTGGATCCTTAAACTTGTTTCAAACATGAGATAAAGTGAGAAAACATGATAAGTGAGTAAAAAATATATATAAAAATGATAAAAAAAATGTTTTATTTTCTTTTAACTAAAAAAGTATACAAAGTGAAAAACAAAAAAGTATTTTCTCATTTAGAGTTTACAAGATACTGTATATAAGATGTTTTATAAAACATAAAAATATTAAATACCAACAATGATACAAATAAATCACATGCATGTCCAAAAAAATCAAGGTATATTTATGTTTATTTCATATAATATGTTAATTACGGAAATAATTTTAATCATGCAGATAAATCATAAGATTAAAAAAAACGTTATAATACTTTCAACGAACAACGAATAATTACTTATTGTATTGTGAACACAACCGGATATTAGATTCAAATCTTGGTTTTTCCATTCAAAAGCATGTGCAACATCGGGTCATCAGTTGAGATCCTTCAAAGTAGGATATTCATATTTAACTTTTATTCTTATTTAAACAAATATAGTTGTGATAATAACAATATATATGAGATCACTTTTATTGAACTCTTTTAGCGTTTAAGAGAAAGACAAAAGTAAGACTACTCAAAGATTATAAAACTAGGAAGATGCTTATTCAATCAAACTAGAACATGATTTATGACAGATGCGATATGCACTTGATACATATGAATATTATTATTCATTTTTCTAATTTTTTATATCTTCTCAGAACCAATCAGATTATGTTGTTTTGACAATCATCCCATGTGGTTTCAAGACGGATGCAAAAACTTAAGTCAACTTGCTAATGCATGCACCATCATTATACATCCATTCACATTGTTTAATATATTTATTAACAACATCAAAATATGAACCAAAAAAAAAACATTGCCATAAATATATTTAGTGTAGCAAATTTGTCTCATAATGAAACCTGTCAACGCCTTAACAGATCAATTAAAAAATCAACAACCTATCAACTCTTGGCGATATCCAACTACTTAAATTTTTTCAGGTCTTTAAGTGTATAAATTAATTCTAAGATAACCTCTCAATTTGTTGTATTATATTACGAATAAGTTAGGCTTTCAATTCAACATGCGGTATGATTACTGTGGGCTGTAGCTTGAAC